ATGCCTGATCAGACCTGAACCCATGACCCTGAGGGCATCACCAAGCCCGCAGCTAGGAGTTTCCAGGGCCAACAGGGGACTAGGTGCTGTTGGTGAGTAGCTGGCTCTCTCCACAGGCATGGACGGTGCCAGGAGGACAACTGGAGTCGGAGGAGCCTGGCTCTGCCGCCAGAGGAACGTTTACGAATAGGCTAAACATTGTGACTACAATAGTATTCAGCAGTTACTCTCCTGGCCATTTACCACAGACAAATGAAGATACATATTCATCCAAAACTCTATTCAAATGTTATCAAATACTTGGCACAAAGCAGTCTTGAGGTCATTATATAGAAATGGTCTCATTCTGGAAGGTAGAAATTCAGTGGTATGTTCCAACATACCATTGTGGACTGGAAAGCAAAGACAGAGTCCAGCCCAAGAAGATGGAGGCAGGAATCAGGGAATCCTCTTTCAGTGTTAACAGAAAGAAAAGAGCAGAGGAGAGAAAGGAGATCAGGGTGAGGGAATTCTAAGTTTTGATGGTGAAATATTTCCACCTGTTGGATTATCATTCTTCTATGATGGTCTAGCTCATATGCATAACCAAGGAGGAGTGTTGTAAAGTAAGTGATGTAGTTTGGATAGGTAAGAAAACTAACAAAGGAACCAATTATGCATGTTTCACCAAGACAGAGAGCTTTGTTTCCTCTCTCTCTTGTAATTAGCATCTGGTGTGTCCCAGGTGCTTAGAAGATTGTCTAGCACAAAGCAGCCCTACAGGAATGAAAGGATTATCTTCAGACATTTTGAAAGCACCATTTGTTTAGTTTAAAAATTACATCTGTTGTTTTAACCAAAGGGAATCTGTTCCTTTGGAGAAGGCCAGTGTAGAAACAGTACAAAGTTGGATTTTATCAGATGGGAAAGATGAAGAGATGGAAGGACTCTTTGGAGTTCAGCTATACAGGTCTATGGATAAAGGTAGATCATGAAGTTTTCCTTGAAGAGGGAGGAAATTAGGACAAACAATTTTTTGGTGGAGAAGAAACTTTAAAGTGGCTTCTAGTTCCTGAATTCATGAAATTGGCCTACTTAGAGCATAAGTGAGGAGAATAAAGGGTGAAATATCAGAATGAATTATTTCAGGAGAGGTATTCCTGGTGATAAGTTTTAGAATGTCTCAATAACTAACTCGGAATGGAGGAAAAAGCCTCTAAGATGAGAAGGGGTGCATAGTGAGAGGTCAGGTTATTAGATCATTCATCCAGCTAGAAATTGGAGCTTCCAATTGATTTCCCCGAATTCGAACATTCTGTCTGGGGCTCCAGACAGACCTCTGCAAAATCAGCATTCTCCCTGAACACCTAACTTCAGTCAATGGTTTTAGTTGGGAAAGAAGGCAAAACTGGAGAAGTGAGAGACTCAGCTACAATAGACAACCATTTTATTTTTGTTTGTCTTGTCACCCAGCATTTACTTACCTTCTGGAAATATTCCCTCTAATTCCTTCTAGGGAACTAACTCCATACTCATTTTCAGAACACGTGAGAATAGAGTTGTCATTCTCCATCACTCTTATTTTAAGAATGGTATATGTTGTTCAGGCTTAGTCAACAAGTTTATTCCACACTTTGGGCCCCAGGGATTGGGTAGAAATGAGCATATGACCCAAGAAGACACAATGGGACATTTGAAGGAACTACTGGAAGGCACGCCCTATTTTCACCTGCATGTCAGTCTTGGAGGATGCAGCTATGAACTTTTCAGCTACAAAGTCTAACATTAAAGCTAACCCAGAAGACAGCCAAGAAATAGAAAATGATTCCTAATGGTATCATGTGATCCCCAGCAGAAACCCTGTTGCCTAATTTCATCCTTATTCTCATACTTTGAGTTACCCAAGTTAACAGTTCTCTATTTAATTCTCTTGAATTGTATTTGTTGTCATTCCCATCCAAATCTTTCCTAAAGTATAAGGGGGCTCTATTCTAGGCTACCTTTTCTTAAATGTATATTATTTTCTATGTCACTCAGGTTGCATTTCTATTAAAAGACAGAAAGGTAACTGAAATGTAGAGACTTAAAAATACAGGTTTGTTTCACAACTGCCAAATACAAACAGTATTTAATATTTTGAAATTAAGTCTTGCTCAAATTTTCTACTTTAAGTGATAGAAACATATCCAATTTTTGTTATTGCTGGGGGCTTAATAGGCTTTTTACCTATTAAGTTTGAAGTTTATTGGCAAAGAATATGTCATGAATGGGAAACAAAATGTTTTGCTGTAACTGCCAGGTTAATGGGGCTTAAAGATGACTTGTCTTAGTAAACATAATTTCATCCCCTAAGAAGTCCTGCTATCTCCCAGAGGACTTCTGCACAATACTCATCTTCTTAAGGAACCTGTCTTTACATCCCAATTCTCAAGTCACCAGAGCCCCTGCTATCATTAAGCAGCTCTCCTCTTTTAACTCAGCACATGCTTCACCTTCTGCCCTCTCCCTCCTAGGAACACATAGCTGATGAGAATCTGGATTCACCTATATAACAGGAACAGGTGCCTTGAATATTCTTTTGGGGGGCAGAAAATATGAATGCCATTAGTAACTCATTAGACCAGTACCCCAGAACTTCCTAAAAGGCAAATGTGGAAAGTTAGTTTTGATTCCTGTGGATGTCCCCTCTGGTAGGGTAAAGAAACATCGATCAATAACTTGGTAAAAGACATTGCCACAAATGGAAATGACATAAAGTTGTATACTTAAGTAGAGTAAGAATCCCTACAGAGGAAATCACCCTGTTATTGCTAGCATAAGTTTCCTTCCACAGTGAGGCATTGGTAGACTTGCATAATCATCAGGTGGGACCACTATTGCTACCACCTAAATTTGAAGATATCACTTCCTAAATACTTTATACATATTCTGCTTCACTACTTCATACAATATTTCTCTGAATATAAGAAAAGTTATGTGTCTCTGGATCAGTCATTCATCTCTTTAAACCCCCACATCTACCTTGGTTCATGTTCTTGAACCATAGGAGCTTGGAAAGCACCCCATAATGAGAGTTCTATGCTCTGAATTTCCTGAAAGTGGCATTTTACCAACTAGGAGACATTCTCTCCAATGTTCATGCTGTGAGTTTGAAATGATAAGTATGCTATATTGAATATATTTAAAGGGAAAGAAATTCTGTAGCCTTGTAGCATTTTCTTCCTCTTTAAGCCTAGTCATCTCTATAGAAGGTAAAGTTTACTTTTGTAGGCCTGTAGCCTAGAAGCCAGGACAGAGTGGAGAGACAGGAGGAGCTAGGATGAGGACTATTTTACCTAATTTCTCCTTCCTTAAGTCTAAATACTGGCAGTGATATATCAGATGGCTCTAAGGTTTTCTTTCTCTTTACTTTCCATTTATGATAGCCACACACCACCTTGTCTCCATACCACGTTTCTCTACTTTTTTCGTGCTTTTTAATTTGCCACTACTCCAATCAGCTATTGACCTTGATGACATAGATATGGATGAGATGAAGATGAGGATTTACTTGGCACCTTTGGCCACTGTGGTTTCAATTAAATAAGTGGGGTCTCCAAAACATTTATGCTAGGTAGACTTTTAAGATGACTCTAATGATCTTGTCTCCTGGCATCCATTTGCATAATTCACTGTCATCTCAAGTATGGTCTAAACAAGATATTTGCTTCTAGGGCTGGGTATGTGATTCAGTAGTAGAGTGCTTATGTAGCGTTGCTTAGGTCCTGAGTTTTATTCCCAGAACTGCCCCAAATCCCAGCAGCATAAAAGAAAGGTTATGTCATTGCCCTTTTTGAAGGAGCATACTGTTACATTGGAGAGACCCACAAGGCAAGGAACTAAAGGAGAACGAAGGCAACTCCAGCCACTGGCAGCAAGGAATTGAGACCCTGGGTACATCAGGCCTAGAGGGACTGAATCCTACTACCAAGTGCTACATAAGTGAATATAGAAATGTATCTTTCTATAGTAAAACCTTCATATGAGACTCTGGCCCCCACTGACATTTTCATTACAGCCCTGTAGCAGGGACCCCCTGAAGCAGGGAGCCCAACTGGGCTTTGCCTGGATTCCCAATACACAGAAACTGAGATAGTAAATGTTATTTTAAGATATTAAACTTTGAAATATTCATAACAGCAATATGTAATACAAACATTACCAAATCACCATAAACTTGGTGTCAGATGTAGCACAGCTGAACAGGAGGGACCAAGACCACTTCCCTTAAAAAGGATGATACAGTGTCTGACATCATCAAAGCCAGTGTATTGCCTTGGTACTGAAAGACCATTCCTTGCACTTCTATGGTGCTCTAGATAAGTCCTCATTTGCCTCTGAAAGGTGAATAAGGCAAACAGCCTTAAGAGCAAAAGTGACTCCTTACTATTTAAGCATACATTTGGGATCCCTGAAACCTACACCACAGTGCTGGACACACAGAACTCCACTCTCTATAATTAGAAACATTTATTAGTCATTTGTTGTGGAGATATTGTTCCCATAATAGGATGTATTGCCGTGATAATTGAGAGGCTTCTACCTAGTGGCCTGTATTATTCCTTTAAGGAAAATTTTCCTTCCTCTAAGTGCTGAAGAAGCATTTTCTGTTTGCATAGGAGAATCAAAGCTCTGAATCCAGTGTCTCTAGCAGATGTGAGGGCATCCAGAGGTACCTGGTATCCTTGCCTGAACATGGAATTTGATGGGTCCAAGACTTCCTGGAGAATGGGGGAAGATATTGACTCTGAAGTGATGCCTGATCTTTGAATGAGACACTCTTCTGAGGAGCTCTGAAACTGTCACTGATCTGTCTCACATCTGTAAGACTACTTGGGCCAGGAAACACAGCTTCTTGGTTACAGGAGTAGGGACCTGACTCTTTTTGTTGTTGTTTGTCAGAGATAGCCTCATACTTAGTAGGTTGTCCTCTGTCAGTCTCTGCCTGGGCCTGTAGTTCCTTCTTCTGTTTATGCAACTCCCAGGCCTCACATTCCTGCCTATGTGCTAGTTTCTCCTCCAGGATCTTTCCAAGGGCTTCCATGAGTTTATGGGCTTCAGGAGGGTCATGGCTCACAGACAGAGCACTATCTTTCACAGGACTCTTCTGGCATGTGCTTTTTATCCTGGAATCAATCCACTGAAGAAATTGTCTTATCTTTTTTTTGATGCAACTTTCAGAAGAAAACGCTTTTTTTTGTAGCAGGGACTTAGATGCCTCTTCTAATTTTCTGTCCTCCTCAGGTTGGCTCTTTCTTATTGCTCTAAATGCATCTAATCCTAAGTCCTCACCTCTATATTTTCCTCCTTTACATATTAAAGGGCTCACTTTTCTCTCAGCTGGTGGGAATCTCATATCCCAACAATTCCATAAGATATCCTTAGGGAGCCAGAGCTCCTGTTGTTTACACATGTTGGTCCTTGAATCATTCAGATCAAAATGCAGCTGCTGAAAAACTTCCATGTCCTCACTAGAGTCACTGTTGGAGTGAGACAGTGAAGAATCAGAATTGACATTATATAAAGGAAGGACTACATCTCTGGGAAAACCTTGAGCCTGGCTAAGTGAATTATTCCCCAGCTTAAAAGACACCTGTCTTTTAAGGTCTAACTGTGTCAGATCTTCAGGAATTATTATTGGTGGGGTGCATTGAGTGGCTGGGATAGTTTCTACTTTACTCACACTCACACTTATCTTTTGGGAATCTTCCAACTTGCTGGTTGTTGAGATAGTACCAATCTGTGATTGAAGATTACAAAGCTCATGGGCTTTGAATATCTGGTTGCACATGTCAAAGGTGGAATAATATTCTGAATTCTTATTCTTTCCCACCATCATTTTGCCCTCATGCATGTCTGTTCTATGGCTAAGACTTACCACTTCATCCTTTGATTTATCTCCATCTCCGTCTTGCCTTATTACATGCTCTGAACTGTCTCTCTCTTCTGATACAGTGTCAGTCTGACTTACTTTGTCTTTGATTCTTCCTGTATTGGGTAGACATGTCTGGCTTCCATTCTCAATTGTCTGTACATTCTCTGTAACTTCATGATCAGTATCACAACATGGTTGTCTCAGGATGTCCTGAACTTTCTTGACCACAAGTGAGGGGGCAGGCAGAGAATGATCCATAATGGAGACTGAATTTATTATTTCTTTCTGACTCTGATGAATAGCTTTAGAGCTTTCTGTAAGGAGCTTGGAGACTCCAGATTTGGAATCCAGCTCAGAAGTTCGAGTTGAGGATGAAACAAAGTTATATTGAGGAAGAGGCCATGTTTTGGCTTCTCTCAGCACATAGGATTTTATGGATTCAAGAACCTTGAGGGGAAGGCCCCACTTCTGACTTATCCTAAACCTAATAATATGGGCTTCTAGTAAATTTTGGGTTTTGTTATCAAGGAAAGAAAGCCTTGTGTTGGTTGTCTGGCACTGGACCCTACCCACCAGTGATGACATATTATTTATATTATCTGTATTGGTATGGGAACTCCAAGGAGGCGTCAATGCATTGTCCTCATCCAGACAAGAAAGACAGACACCTACAGGGATCCTACCTGTAGTGATCTGCCAACACTTGCGGCTCACATGTAATCTAAGCATGCTTTTCATCTGATTCAAGTCTAAGTTCTTCCCTGAAACATTTACTAATTCATTCCCTAAGTCATTCCTTGAGTGACACACACAGTCACTTCTTTTCTCAGATATAGCATTCATATTATTCCTTACATTGCATTCTGAAACCATTAGTGGATTATCTAATGGACACTTCCCCAGAATATGCCTGAGATTCTTTGCCAAATCCTTGTTCAGCTGAAACTTTGTGGGGAAATTCTCATGGGAACTTCCTGAGAGACTCCATTCTATTTTCTCAAGATCCTTGCTACTGTGGCCCTGAAGCTCAGAGGGTTGTGAGTAAGCATGTCTGTGGCCGTGCTGAGATGTCTCTGTTGATGTGATCCCAGTCTCCGTCAATACTCCAGATCCTATAGGACTGCAAGACTGGAGGTTCCCAAACAGAATTAGATTCTTTGGTACCTGGTGCTCCGGGTCCTCCTGGGGTTGACTGCTGATATGAAAATGGCCAGGAAAGATGGAGACTGGAGCATAGGCCTGGGAATATTGCCTGACTGATGGAAAGCTGGGAGCTGAAGGACAAAAGGCGTCTTGACACTTTTCAAATTCAGAGCCAAAACCCCACAAATGTGCATGATGTGTGTGCAACCCATGCCATTCCGAATGTTTATTTCCAGGTAAGATGTCAACATCAACTTTATTCTGTGATCTATGGAAAATATTTCCATAGTCCTGAATCTGGGGTGGAGAATATAATGGTAGTATAGGGAGTGGAGATTTACCATGGGCCAGGGAATGGGCATGAGTGAGAGGTAAAGTTTGGGATTGGGGATTCATGTGAGGAAAAGATTGAGAATGTATGCTGGTAAGGGAAGGTGGGTGGGACAGAGGGCGTGGTGGAATTTCTTTAGCCTGGATTTGGATTGCAGGAACATTACAGGTTCTATTGAATAAAACAAAGTGAGGTTCTAGTGAGGAACAGCTCTTAGAGACCAGAAGAGTAGCCACTATTGACTCGCTATGGAGAGAGGGAAGACCCCAGAAGAGCTGGCTGTATTTATGCTCCACATTTCCCCCCAGAGTCTTCACATATACAAAGTGCTGACAAATTCCCAGATGTTCTGATTTGTCTTTGGTGTCCCAGCCAGTTTGGGAAGCTATGGTGTCTTTCTCATCAAGGAAGGATTTCAGTGAGTTCCAAGAAGATGTAAATTGGTATTCTGACCACTTTTGTTTTATCAATGGTCCCTGCTTCTTTCCTTTATTTTCTAAAATCTGGAAAGTCATTCTCTTTTTTATTTGTCTCTCCAAGAGTTGTTGTATGTTAAAGCCAAGGAAAGAAATGTGTCTGCCTTCCATATGTGAAATATCAGAATTTTTCCATAAATAGAAATATGGTAGATGGAAGGAAGCATTCTCTTCCTGAAAACCATAGTGTGGTAATCTTGGAAGGACTATATTCTTGTTATGAGACCAGGAGAATTGAGAAATTGCCAAGCTTGAGCAGTCAATGCCTCTGATTGTTGGAACATAATTGGATAACTCCTCAGGGCTATTCTTGAGAGCTAAATTTGCCTCTGGTTGGAGAACAGGATTTGTTCCCCGAGTGTGATGTAATGGGAGGGAAGGAAATGCATGAATTTGGGGTGAGAATGGGTTTACTGGGAATTTAGAATCCAAGAGAGGGAGAGGCTCTGGTGGCAGAGAATCACCCAGTGATGAGGGTAAAAATAAGTCTGCTAAGGTGATCTTATTAGTTGAGAGAATGTAGGGGAAAGGTGAAGGTGCTGTAATTGGGTCTTCTGGAAGGACTGATGAAACAGCAGAGAGCAAAGAAGTTGATGATTCTGTCATATTATCTGTGGATGCCAAAGAGGACTGAGAGAGTAGAACATCTTCCAAGGATGCCAGATACAGCAGATGACTGACCTCAGCAGTTGTCCTATTACATACTTCACAGAGAGGGTCTGGACATAGCAACTGGCGAAAGCGGGTGGTATCAAGATGCTGGCCCAGGGGACTGCAAAAGAAAGGAAGTACAAAGCTGTAACCAGGACCAGCACAAGGAAAGGAAGGCCCCACAGTCTTATTGGTGATGGGGCCACCTGAAGCCTCTTACCCTCATCATAATCCCTACATTTATTACCCCACAACACACTCTATAGCCTTTCCCAGGGCCTTCACTCCCATATCTGTTGCTATGGCTCCACATCCCTGTGAGAAGGGCAAGCTTACCTGAATCCCTGAAGAATGCCTAAAATATATGATAAAAGGACCGGGAAAGAGGAGGAAATACTAATCACCTTTTCACGATAGAAAACAGCTTCCTTCTCTCCTCTGCTTCTTTCTGGCAACTTCTCTGATCTGGGAAATAAGGAGAGACAGTGATATATAATGAAGGTAGAAATATAAGGACTATACAGGGTTCCCTTTGGGGAGTTCTTTAGGATATTAAAGTCCAAAAGCCCCAAGAATCAGTAGAAAAGGTTAAATGTTCAAAAATAATATTAAGAAGGTTCACATGTATATCTGGCTTCATTTGTAAAGTATAATCACATATATCATCCTATACAATGTTCAAAATTACAAAGTGAAGTATAGGAGTCAGTGGTTACCTAAAAGATAAATCTGAACAGACAGAAAGTAGAGGACTTAACACAATATCAGGAGGTAGAAGTTCTGAATACAAAGCAACCAATAGTTCTTCCTCAGTATCTTACCTGGTCACTTATTGGACAACTCCCATTGTCCAGGTCCATCAGTGCTTCATGTCATAAGTGGATAGAGCAGGGACTTTGAGGAGTGTCTGAGGTGTGACTGTGTTCCCCTGAGTCTCTCCTCTGAGGGTTTTGTTTCCTGAGATACACTGTTATCTAGCAAGTGACATTTTTAGAGATCATAGACCTGGCACCTCATAAAATGGACACAAAGGTTCATCCTTGCAAAGCTCAGGTCAGACAGACAGACCCTTACCTTTAAATGTTCCACCTTTTCTTCTTCTCTTGACTCTTCCCTGACTCTAAGAAGAAAAAGACAAGAATGTGAGCTTGGGGCTTGCTTCTTTATTATTCTCTCTAGGCATCTCAGACATTAATTCAAGAATAATATTACTCTACATTTAAATAATTATTTCTTCCTTTCATTAAATTTTAAAGATGATCAACTTTTTTCAATTTTCCCTACCTTGAAATCTTCAAAGGATGATTTTTTTCCCTGTGCGATCCATACTTGATATTCTCAGAAGTCCTCTGATCAAAGAGGACATGGAATCTGGGGCCAACAGTCACATCTGTGTTCTCCCAGAGGAGTCTGTATCCTGGGGATAGTGCTCAGGTTTCAGACTCTACTCAAAGGTCAGCACTAGTTTCCTGATCAGTCCAATATGAAGGAAGGAAGGCTCTACTGACACTTAGAATTCTAAGTCCCATTCCCATGTCAGGCATCCTTCACCTGACATGGGAATGGGACTTAGGATCAAGCATCAAGAGTCTTCTCATTCAGAGAAGCAAAACTTTCTAACCAGACAAATGCAAGTCACAGAATCAGGAGGATTTTACCTAGAATCTTCCATCACACCCAACTTCAGTTGGAAACCTTACACCTTCCTGAACCTCTATCGGTGCCTGAACAGTGATATCCTGTCCTCTCTGCAGATTTCCCATCTCAAATATCTCTCTGAGCCAACCAAGCTGATTTAGATATGTGGAAAGAGGAACAGGAAATAAAGATCCCCCCCTAATTCTGGCATTAAGGAGCTTGCAAAACTGAATAAACTGAAAATGACTTTTCTTGGAGCCATGAAAATACACCACCCACGTCCATGTCCTCAAAGAAAGTAAATGAAGAACATTACAGCGAATATCACTTTATCTGGAGCAAAATCCACTGGAACCATACAGTGGTAGGAACACTTAAATGAACCCTTTGATTAATAACTAGAAGATGTGTATAGGCTAGCATCAGAGTGAGAAAATTCCAACAGTCACTGTCTCAAAAGTCTCTCACACTTCATGAGTTTCCTCTGAAGAATCTCCCAAGTTCTCACAGTGAAGACCCATGAAAATACCTTCACATTTTCAGGTAGGAATAGAGAAAATAGAAACATTTTGAAATATAATCTGGTTATACTTCATAACAGAAGACTACTCAGCAGAGTTCTAGAGCCTTACCCTACATGAAGAAAGGGAAATTGCCCAACTCCAAACCATTGTAGCCTCCTTATCTCATCCAAGGTGTGTATTGGTGGGGAGGTTGAGATGCAGGGTTTAGGACTAGAAATTATGGCACACAGGACCACTAAAAGATTGAGATATACTCCTATCCCCTACCAACCTGCCACACACACCTTACCATCATATTAACAGGACTACAGTGTGGTAATGGTTAAAAGAGTTTATGTTGCACTTACATTTTGTACTTAAATGTTCTAAGGAAATGACCTCAGGGAAAGCTACAGATATAAGAGGATATTGAAGCCTCTGTCAGGTACAACAACAGTAGACATTATATCCTAATGAAGTTAATATAAATCCTAACAAACACTAAAAATCCGTTAACCTCAGTTCCTATTTCCTAATACATCATGTCTGGCTTTAAAAAACTATAGAAAACCCCCCCAAGGCTTGCTAAAAGACAAGGGGATAAATAAACAGTCAGTATAGACAAAGCAAGCATCAAATCCACAAAAGTATCACATCAATTTTGCAATTATCATACATGAAGCCCTAAATTCTATGACTAATACACTAAAAGCATTCATTGAAAAAGTAGGCAACATGCAAGAACAGATACAGAATGTAAAAAAGAGAGATGAGAATCAAAATTGATTGTTAAAAATGAAAAACACTATAACAGAAATAAGACTGGCTTTGATGGGCTCATGAGTGGACTATACATGGCCAAGGAAAGAATAAATAAGTTTGAATGAATATCAATAGAAGATTTCCAAATGAAAGGCAAAGAGAAAAAAATGTTAAAGTCTAAATCCCCCAAAAAATTGTAATATATTTTGGAAATTTGTAAATACGCGGGGAGAAGAAAAAGAGAGTAAAGCAAAAGAAATATCTGGAGTAATCATTTAAGATTAACAGTAAGAATTTTTTAAAAATCAAAGAGAAATTATCCATATAGATGAAATTTTATATGGATCCAATATAGATTAAACTGGAAGATATCATGCACTAGGTGAAATAAGCCAGACATAGAAAGAAAAAGACTGTAATACCAAACTTATATATGTAATATTTTTTAAAAAAATTGAATACATAGAAAAATTGAAAAGGACAGTGGTTACTAACAGCAGCAGGGGGCTGGGGAAGAAAATGGGAAGATATAGGACAAAGGGTATTCAATATTATCTGGTAGACCTGAAATATATACAATTAAAACTAATATAAAAATCACCTAAATAAAAACTAAATCCTATAAGTTCCTGTTTTAATCACATAACAGAAAAAAGGAGACAATAAAGAGAAGGTACAATGAATAATAAACTATTACAGACATGGTAGGTATTAATCCAAAAGTATAGAAAAATCACTTTAAACGTGAATGATCTGAATTCATCATTTATAAGTAAGAATATTAGAATGGATAAAAATAAACAAGACTATCTGTATGCTATTTAGAAGATACCCATTTTAAATGGACACATAAGTAAAAGGATGCATAAAAATGTAGCATGTTAACAGTAATTTTAAAATCAGGGTAGTTGTATTAATTTCAGACAAAGCAGACTTTAGAAAGAAGGGAAATTAGCGAGGATAAAAAGTGCATTATATAATAGTGAACCCAAAGTTTGAGATGAATCTAGAATCTCCACTTCTGCTGGTATATGTGTACAAGGGGGTGGGATCAGCATAAGCTGCAGATTTCTGCAGCCAGGAAATATGTTGCAGCTATTAATGGTGGGCAACACCGTCCCATGTTGAAGCAGACCTCAGTAGCTCACCACCAATTTCTTGTTTCTGGGTGCTTATCTTGTGCATTTGAAGAATGAAATCCACAATTCATAGACAAGGATGAGTGAGTAGGATTTATTCAAGTGTGACTAGAAACAGAACTCCTGTGGGTGAAAGGGGACCCAATGGGAGTTGCCACCTGATAGTGCTAGTCTAGAGCTTTATATAGCACTTGGGTCAATGCTATTGTTCCAGACTTTTGCTAATCATGGTTTGGAAAAATAAGAATGCTATTAATTAACTGTTGAAATTGAACTTCCATTCAGGTCCACCCCACTTCCATTTTCTTGATGCTCCTTGGGAAACAGAAGGTTGAGATTCTTGGATCATGGATGCTCCAGGTTCCCAGTTGCAGTGCTTTGTGCAGCAGGCTTCTGCAGTGGGCTTCAGCACTGACCTGAGCGGTCCACCATGGGGTGACAGGTCTGTAAGCCTTGGCTTGCCTAGGTGCTGGCTTGCAGTGCCTCAGGCCCCTGTGGGTATACAGG